GATCCAAAAGGTTTTGATGGGATGTGTGGTAGGTCAAAGTCGCCGCCCAGCTCCTCAAATGCCCGTGTGGCGGCATCGTCTAGTTCGAGATAGTCCATATTCGATGGTGTGATAGCGGACTGTCTGTGTTATCGACAATTTGGAAGTTTTTGTGAGATGTTGGAATGGATAATGTTTGTCCTAAAAGAATGTGTGCGCAGGCAGTCTATGGAATTACCAAAAAAGGCCGCAAAGACAAGAGCGCAACTTCGGTTGACCGAGTACCTGATGCAGCAATTACTCCCGACTCAAAGCCCGATCCATGGTACTGTTGTGACGCGCAGCAACGAGCCACTCACAGTTTCTGTAATCCAAACCTATGGTAATTTACCAACAGCTGGTTTCGAGCTCACCTTTGTCGACAAAGAAAAAAGACTTTACAACTGCTTGATGAATGCTACTTGCCGTGTTTGAAATAAATGGACATGCGAAATGACACGGCTAGGACTATGAGACTGGGACCTACCTACGGGGGTGTAGTACGAGTATTATGACTACAACAGATCTGGAGCAGGCTTCCAGTTATCAGAATCAGATGCGTAGCCGTCAGGCATGTTTGTTGAACATGATTTCCAGATAATTCGACGAGACCGCAATTGCCGCCATAGCACATGGACTGAAAACTTGCTCAAGGACCATCATCGATGTCCAGCCAGACATCAGCAAGTACTGTGTGAACATGTGCACCAAAACGAATAGCGAGTATAGTTGGTTCATTAACCGTTTCCATTCCATTAAGCATTACACTAGATAATAATAGTCCCTTTCTTTCCGCGGTGGTAGGCTCCAACCGAGCCCGTCATTACCACCCATACCAATCCGACATGAACATAGCATTCAACAGAATGCCTCTGCCATGCCGTTCATGTCACAACATCATCAAACCCCCTATATGCAGACGTCCAGCCTCTCAAAAAGTAGAATGCGGAAAGTGTGGCGGCCGGGCGCTGAAGCGAATGTATACAACGCACAGACACGACTGTGTCAGAAAAGTCCAAAAGGTAAGCGACCGACTTGGGTATCAAAAAAAGGTGTACAATAAACCACGCGTTTGTAGCGCTAAAGGGATGCCCACGAGAAGAATGGTTGTGGTTCCCCGATGCATGCATGGCTGCAGCGACTCTGCTGCCGCCGACGCTAGTGATTCTATGCCGTCAAATCCATGGTGTAGATAATGGATCGCTGAAATGCTTCGCAAACAAGAAAAAACTCCGCTCCAATGCATAGGTCGTTAGAGGCCGTCACCCGGGGAGGTAAGGTGATAGTGCGAAACGTAGGGATGAGTATAAGTCTGTGGCGAGGGAGATGAAGATGTGTCGTAGGTCTTAGTCTTTGCGGAGGGTGGTGGGCTCCGTGTCGGATCCGATGGTCTCGCCTTCCCAGAGGCTTTGAGAGTCGTCGGTTGGTGATCGTGCGCCGATGGGACTCCTGCCACCGGTGGAGTAGGAGGAAGAGGAGCCGCTAGCCCAGTCGTCCGAGTCGGAGTGGGCGTGGGAGGGGAATTCCTCGTAGATGTCGAGCATGCTGTAGCCGGCACCGTCCATGGGGTCGCCAATCTCGACGTAGTCGTAGTCCCAGCGGAACTCCTTGTCGGATTGCGGGCGGGGGAGGAACTTGGCGCGGCCGAAGAAGTAGCAGACACCGGCAACTGAGGAAATTAGCACTAAAAAGGGTTGAGGTTGGATATCAAGACTTACGCAGACTGCCAGCTACCAGGTCAACGGCATAGTGGTGGGAGAAGTACATGGTCGACCACCAAAGCCACATGGTGTAGAAAACGTACACGGGGAAGAGCCTGGGGAAGACGTGTCCCATAAACAGCGTCTCGAGAGTAGCCCATCCAGAGTGCAACGAGGGGAACGCGCCAAAGACCAAGGGCGAAGCGTGGAAGCCCGAGGTGTAGAGATCAATGCCAGTCAGCTTGTCGATTGCCTTGAGTCCCGCGGCGTCACCAGGGATGCTGTAGTTGGCGGGGGCCAATCCGTAGGTGTTCTCGTACCAGGGGGGCGAGCAGGGGAAGACCATCTGGATCAGAACAGCTGTGATGTTCATGTAGCCAAAAGCGCGCGCCCAGATTGGCAGGGTGCCAGGAGGCGCCCAGATGAACATGCATGCGCTGACAACGACAGGCGATACGTAGTGTACGACTCCGTAGGGCAACCAGGCGAGGAGGTCCAGGACTGTGTGCTTGTGCGCGGAGAGGATGTTGCTGAGGTTGGCGCCGTAGAGGATGTTCTCGAGGGCGGGGAGGACGCGGACCCAGATGGCAGGGCGGTAGTCTGGCGAGATGTATCTGGGGCATGTTAGTATGGATCTTGCCACAAGTTTGAGGAAGTGGATTACGCACTTGCAGCTGGAGAAGAGGAATAGCCATGTAAGAGTAGGGAGCAATGGGAGGAGAAATTGTCGTGTGATGGGCAAACACAGGCCCGTCATGAGCAGCGTGGCTATGAATGTCTTGGCAAAAGGCCCCGGCGCCTCGCTCACGGAGAGGGAGAAGATGGCGAGGAGGGCGAGGAAGAGATACTGGGCATCGTATATGCTCCAAGAATGGGAGCGCAGGGAGCGCAGGGTATCCGAGGGCGAGAAGGACGTCTCGAGCCCGGCGATGGATGACGTGGGCGCCTGGCGACTGCGTATGCGCGACTTGGTGGCCCTCCACTTCCTGCGCACGCGGTGGGGGATAAGACTGGGCAGGGCGGAGAGGCCCGGGACCTTTGTGCGCGACAGCATGTCGGCGGCGGTGCTGTTGTCGAGGAATGCGAGGTAGCTCTTGTTCGTCATGGTGAGGATGGCGCGGGAGGAATGGCGGTTCAGGGCTCGGTCGCTCGGGGGTAGTCTGTGTGGCGCAGTTCCAGGTAGGTGCAACAGCAGACACGCGACCAGAGGCGGGTGAAAGCACGTCGAAGTTGTTCGGCGTGCAGGAGGTGGGCGAGCGGACAAGAGGGAAAGAAGGCGGAAGAGGGCGGACTAGGGATTATGAAAGGCAGCCGTGACTTAGTGGAAGCTCCGGATGGCTGAGGCTTGCACAGCGCGCTGCCGGGGGGTCAAATTAGGTCCGCAACGTGAGCGGCTACGACGGACCCGGCTAGCCTGCGAGCGCGCTCAATTTCGTTTACACCAGGACGCTGTGACGGGCGCCAGGATTCGCATCATTGTTTCGACCGCGTTGGCAAAGAATGCGAGTGCCCGTGGTTGACGCTTTCGCTTTCACCGTGGGCACTCATGGTAGCATGCGACCCCAACCACGGCACTGATAACGTTTCCAGGGCCTCTGCATCTGCAGGCATGTGACCCTTGCAGCACACCCGTCGACTTCCTTATCACGTTGCTGGTCGCACTCACACATGGCTTTGTCATCTTGGTACGGGTCCCGTCTAGCAAAACTGCTGCTGGGCTCGCGCCAGAGTGATGCAGCGGTGCGTTAGACCCTTGGTTAGCCTGTCATGACATCAACATACAGGTGACCGCATCGTGCCGTCAAGCCATGGCAGCCACTTGATGGGCAATCGTCTTCCATCGACTTCCGCATCCCGGTCTGTCGTTGTACGATGTACGCGATACGGGCATGTGCTGGTCAGCCTCGTTCGCTGTCGGCGTTGTCTCACAAGGCGTGCGGCCACCCACCCCAGCCTCAAAGACACACGAAACATGCCCAAACTTTCTCACCTCTTGCACGCTACTTACCAATCACGCCCCGACACAACTCTCACCGCACCAGAAAAGCCACCGCTGACTGTACCCGCGCCATTCCTACCGTCCGTCGCGACGTCTGAATAGGCGCCCTCGGCACCTCGCAAGATCCGCAACCCGTGCAGTCCTCGCCCTCTTGGCGCAGACACATCCTCACCCGTTTTTCCACTGCCATGGTTCCACCCGCAACCCTGTGCTTTTCACGCCCGATGCGCAATTTCTTTTTTCCTGTCCGATCCACCCACTGCCCAATCGCCGATGGCCATCTCGGTCTCGCTCTCTCGGACATTGTAGGCGGAGGCTCGGACGAACACAACCTCCACCGCGCTTTCCTCTCACGACATTCGCCCTTTCCCAAACCACACTAACCAACACTAAATAATCGAACAAATCTCTTTACCGAGTCACAGCCAAAGGAAAAAAACTCAATTCAATAAAAACTCGATCACGCAGACTTCACTCGATTTGTAGGCTAAATCACAAAAGAAGAGTCGAGATTCGACATGGCGACCATCGCAATTTCCCTCCTCCTTTTGCAATGACTCTCACACCCTTCTCCAACAAATGCCATGTACATCCCTTACAACACTAACATTACCATGCTCATGCCTTGACTCAGAGTCTCTCCCCAACAACATGCTGCCCAAACAAACAAAACCCACCCGCATCCGCTGCCCGTCCCTTTCTCCGCCCGTTTGCTGTCCTGCATCCACATCGCAGAAAAGAAAAGAAGCACAACATGCCCCGTTGTTTCACTAAAACACAATCCAGGTACAGCTGCACTACGCGAACGCGAAAATGTCGCGCAAGAACCTAGTAGTCTCGTTTTCGTATCCCGCGTATCCAGCCTCTCTCTTCGTGCGAGGTGCTTCCCCGTCTCGCGCACCGCGATGGGGTCCGAGCGCGGCCAAACCGTCGCTCCGCCGCCGTCGTCCCTGCTGCAAAAGCGGGAGTCGGGTAATTGCCATTTGCTGACTACTTTTGCCGAGACCGTCGTGCTGCCGTTCGGCACGCCGGCTGACGGTGAAGGGTTGTCGCGATGATCTGTGGTGGATGATCTCGGAAGAGTCGGAACGCGGATGCGGTGGGAGGAGTAGGGGAGGGGGATCTCAGGGGATGCTCCACTGAATGTGTGCGGTTGCGGATGCGATCGTCAGGTACGGTGTTGTGGAGGGAGGATCATGAGTTGATGAGGTTTTGGCAGCATGATGGCAACTTCAAGGTAGACAGTGAGTGCTATGAGTATCAATTTCGAGTACATCGCAGTATCACCGGTATTTGTTCCACCCATTGTCCATTTCATAATCTCCATCATCACCATAGTCCTCATCTCCTCCCGCTTCTTCCTCGTCATCCTCATAGTCATCCTCCTGCTGCTGTTCCCTCTCGCGATCGTCAGAGTCCGGCCTCGTGATGTAGCCTGCAATGCGGTCCTCGCGCCTTGCTTTATTCACTTCCTCCGTGACATCCTCATCGACACGACCCTGATGATCAGAGTATGTATACGTCGCATCATTGTAACCACCATCCATCGCAACGACATGCCCACCGCCATTGGCATGCCAGTATGCAACAGACGCTTCGCGAGCCCCGCTGAGGTATTCTTCGTCGGGCAGGTCGTCGGATGTCTCAAAGCCGTTTTCTTCAAGACGCTCTGTCCATTCGTCAAGGTCTCTTCTTCCGGAGTCGCTAGCGGGTGGGCTGTATTCGTTGGATAGTCCTGACGCGTAGGACTGGCCCATGTCGGTGTAGTTTACGCGGGAGCCACTTGGGTTGAAAATGTTGGTTGGCTTTTCCATGTCTTCATCTTCATTGTAGTCGACTTCGTCGTCGATGGCATCTTCAACGTCGCTAGCATCCTCCTCGCTGTCAGAATCTTGATCGCTGTTGGCTTCTTCACCCTCGATGTCATATTCATTATTGGTGGCATCTTCGTCTTCGTCGCTAGAACTCTCGGTGTCGCTGGAGTCATCAGCACTGCCGGCATCATCCTCGTTGCCAGATCCTTCGTCGTCGCTAGCTGCTTCAACGTCGCCAATGTCGTAATTGCCAATCACCACTTGACCATCGCTGACGTCTCTATCGTACGGCTTGAGAGCATGGCGTCTCAGCCTCTCCACATTGTGTTAGGTTGGGTCACGAGGCATGCCGTGTATGACGTATAGATTTCAAGCTTGATCTCCGAAAATGCAGTTGTAGAAACGAGTATTAATGGAGTGACTGAGTGAAAGCGCCAGGCTTTATGCCTTCCAAGATTAGGTTGTGTATTCAACCTTGAGCCTTCAGCCTTCCCGAGGTCTTGTTTCGACACAGCAATTGCGGCATACGGTTCGGCTTGGGTGGCGCAAGGCAGACACTGCTGAGGTCCTTGGACAGTAAACAGGTTTGATCGAGCGACACCACAGCCTACCTGTCGATCACAGGAGCCGTAGGAGAGCATCATGTGCATAGCGCCAGCATGCATGCATTCAGTCTAGCTGATCGCGATCATTACTATGTAAAACCATGTATGGCGGTGGCTGAACAGTGCCATCAGGCTGAGTCTTTCATCATGTCACTTCGGAATGCAACTAGACTTTTTGGTGCATGAACACTTCGGATCAGACAGATTAGATGAGCAAGTAAAGTTTCTTCTTCCTCTATGTATGAGGTAAAGACCCTACGTACCTTCAGATACGCTGAGCCATGCTATGTAAAGACAACGCTAAATGCCCTTCGCGCAGAAAAGTGCAATACAAGAACCACCACAGAATGAAGCCGAAGCTATGTACAAACAGAAGAAAACCACCGAGAACGACAACGAGCAACGCCATGCTCGCTCATCCCTGATACGGTACGCGAACTAACACCCAAACCGTGCATCCCAAACCAACACGTCCAACCACGTAAAAATACCATCCTACGGCGTATCAATAAGATCCTCCAAGAACTCGTCGAGTTCGATAATCGTAAACTGCTCCGCCCACTTGGCCCTGAACTGCCTCCTCCTATAACCACCATTGATCTGCTGACCCCAACTGATCAATTCAACCTTCCACCCCTTCTTCAACGCGCGCTCCACATGCGCGAGAAACCCATCCGACATCTCCGCCACGGCACCATCCCCAGTCGCGAGAACCATAGTGCTAGGTACTTCGGTATCAATGATGCTTTGGCACATCTTCAAATGAAGAATCTCGTCGACGCCTTGCTCGACCCATTTCGGGGCCGAGGGGGTCTTCGGAGTGACAGCAGACGGACCCGTTTCAGAGTCGCTGCCGCTGCCGGAAGAGCGTATTTGAGTAGCCTTGTGCCAGCCCATCTTCTTGACGTCGTTGAAGAATTTCTTCTTCTCAGAGTCTTCGCGTACGATCAGCACTTGCTCTTGCATGACGCTGTCGTAGCCGACGGCTTTGGATGTCTCGACTAGTTTCGCCACGTGGGGAAGGGGGTTGGCTTCGCGGTGGGAGCCGGCGAAGAAGCGCTTTGCTACCGGCCGGCGGCGCTCCATTAGTAGCGCTAGACTGTCAAACGACATGTCGTACGCGTTGTGGTGCAGGCCGTGGTAGCGGAGCATGTCTTTGAGGCCTATCATGATGTTGGAGGCATCGACAAAGACGTGCAGTCCATGCGCCGAGTTGCGCTCGTTGAGCATTTGCATAGGGGCCACCAGCCACTTTCGATCGTCAGGGAAAGTGCTCATCAACTTGTTGAACAAGTGATAATGACGCTCTACCTGTGATCTAATCGTGAGAGCTGGTCGCTGCCCGCTAAACGACTTACGATGCGGCGTTGGGGTGGTGGGTGGTTGTTGAACGACGGCTGGTTGAGAACAGGTTCTTGGTACGGTAACCGGTCGAACAGTTCGGGGAACAAGTCCATGGTGTACCGGTGTGGTGGCACGAGGCGCTTGCTGAGGTTCGAGCAGAAGGTCCTGAGACGAGGCAGGTGCGAGTGCATCGAATGTTGTATTTTGGGTCCGAGTCGGGGCCGGTGCAGTAGAGGGAACGACTACGGGGACTTCTTGAGGAGGCTGAGGAGTCACAGGCTGTGCCGCGGAAGGCCGCTTCAGTATGCTGGGTCGGGCCTTGGGTGTCCTGGGCTGCTTCTGTTGTGCCTGAGGAGCCTCGGTTGCGTCTTGTGCAAGTACTGGGGTAGGCGTCGCAGGCCTGATCTTAGCGCCCACATTGGATCGTGAATGTGCTCGGGACGGCTTGGTTGGCGTTTCCGCCACCTTGACATCCTTGGTAGTTATGCTGGCGATGTCGTCTAGTTGTTTCCGCAGTAACACCTGCTGTGCCTGTTGCTGCCTCTGCTCGCGTTCTTCCGCAAGCTGGGCCAAGGTGTCCTGAACAGCTTGGTGACGGCACCGCTCCTCTTCGAGCTCCTTCTCGGCGCGTCTGCGAGCCTTCTTCCGTTGGGTCTTAGTCAGACCTGTGTTGTCTATCGCCTGCTCGTCTGAGCTCTCGCTAAGCTTGGCAGGTGTCCTGGTTGATGCGAGGACGGGCGACGGTAGTAAAGCGTCATCGGAATTGCTGAGTTCGGACTCGGGGTCGAGTGGCGGCAGCGGTGCAGAGGCAGTATCGGCGAATCCAAGATTTTCGAACAGCTTGGAGAAGCTGCCTAGACGTATCCCTCCATCTTTCAGTGTAGAAGCCTGAGGTGTCGCCACCGACCGAAGCGGAGGGGAGCTAATCTCTTGGGTGCCCGAATCTATCAGGCCGATGGCGGTGCTGAAGTCCCAGCCGGAGTCGAGCGGTTGTGAAGGCATTTGATCGTTCTAGGCTTGCGAATCGGCGTATTTACTTGGTGTATGCTTGTGGTAAGGAATTGGTGCTAATGCGTAGAAGACACTGGAGTCGTCAGTAAGGTGAACGATGAACCATGGTAAGCGGTCCCAAGGCTACAGCTCGCGCATATTGAAGCCTGGACAGCCTTCACAGTCGAATTATATACTGCGCCGCCTGTACCGCAATAAGTGTCAAACATACCGTGTAACTGATCTCGAAACAATCGTCTTAGTCGCACGCTCATGGTCTATCGCGACAGGTTCAATGGAAAGAGTGTCTTCAGACTGAGTCGGAATCCACAGACACGAGTGAAAGGAAAGAAATGAGCAATGACAAAGAATGAGTCTTGCGCGAGGGTAAATGTAAGTGAGTGAGCTCTGGGTGGCGGCGGGGTGAGGGAGATCGGCAGGTAGTCAGGCGTGTCTCAGCCTCATATGGTCAGTGCTCCATGATTCATTCGGGTCGGGTCGCGAGGCCAACGCGGTGGCGAATGACACACACGAGATGCATGTCATTGGGTTTTCTCTACGCCAACCTCGACTGGGCTTCAAGCCAGTCTTCACGTCGGGCTAGATTCAGAGAATTACAACACCGCAGAGCGATACTTTCTACGCATTGCTTGTTCGAGATACTGTCGGTGGTCCGACAGCGTCAAGCGTCCCGAACAAGACGAGCTGGATCGTCGCACAAGTAAACATGGTCTGGCATGCTTCGCTGCAGGGCGCTTCTAGTCCAGCTTCTAGCTACATATTCACATGTACTTTGGACAAAGTCTGGATTTACCTAGTCTTTGATCTTGTCCTAAGATCTGTCTACGGTCTTGTAATGCGTTCAACAGCAAACCACAGAATGTGTACTATAGACTAATCGCGACTTGCAAAAGGACCAGCACTCATCAATATTTATCACTTTGGTCACCAGCAATATGCTACAGCAAAATCCTCAGTCAACATTTACCAACACTCCATTGAGCCTCGGCATAACCCTCGCGTCCCCTGCCCCACAACCCGCATGTATCTCCAGCAACCGTTCCCCAAGTACCCCTCCCTTCACCTCCCCCTCTCAAAACGCCCCTCCCTTCCCAAAAAGCCATGTCCGCAGATTTCTGGGCAGGCTACGTATCCGGCGCAGCAGGAATAATAATCGGCAATCCACTCGACCTAATAAAAACGCGTCTCCAAGCCGGTCCCTCATCCCAAAATGTCGAAACTACATCTCCAGCTACTACGGGCGCAACGGTTACAGCACCACGGGGGTTTAAAGGACAATTTGAGAATGCGGGAACGCTCGTAAGAGGTGAGCAAGACAACATCGCAACTTCAATCAGTATAAATGGAAGTGAGATCAATTGACTGACTCAACTCCTCCAGTACAGGCGCAACAGCACCCATCCTAACCTACGGCGCTCTCAACGCCCTCTTATTCATGACCTACAACCGCACCCTCACCCTCCTCCACGATTCTCCTGCATCGCCTACAAACTACTCGAAAGTCTTCCTGGCAGGTGCAACAGGCGGTCTCGCATCCTTCATCGTCAGCGCACCAACCGAGCTAGTAAAGTGCCGCGCGCAGGTAGCGACCAACGCGACGACGACTAGTTGGAGTGTAGCGAGAGATGTGTGGAGAGCAGAGGGGATCAGGGGATTATATTATGGCGGCGGGATTACTAGTGTGAGAGACGCGGTGGGGTATGGGTTTTAGTGAGTTGCTTGCCTGTCCGTTGTTGGAGGACGTTGGCTGACCGCACACGCAGCTTCTGGTCCTACGAACTCTCGAAACAGGCCTGGTCCTCGCCAGAGGACTCCGACCGCGAAACAGCCATGAAGGTGCTGTTGTGTGGAGGCCTCGCTGGTGTCATAACATGGGCGTCGATATTTCCGCTGGACGTTATCAAGACGAGGGTGCAGACGCAGATACTACATGCGCCAATGCGGGATGGGGAGGGAAGTGCGCTGCTAGGGTCAGAGACGCCCAGAGCGCGATTGAGCGCTATCGAAGTTGCTAGACATGCCTACAAGACAGAAGGCGCGGGCGTTTTCTTCCGGGGCTTGGGAATATGTAGTATACGAGCATTCGTGGTGAATGCCGTACAATGGGCTGTCTACGAATGGATGATGAAATTGCTGCAGCAATAACACATCATATCAGACATCACGAATACGTAGACCATGACAAAGAAGAGCTTGAAACCGCTAAGTTACTATTCGATCTCCTCATTACATTTCGAAAGCTAGCCCTTTTGTCGACAAGGAAATTTTGGTCCGCTACAGACATGCCCGTGATCAAGACCCGTAACATAATCTCTCCAAAGCTCCGTCATGTGTATACATGTGAAATGAGAGAGAAAAAGGTGTTCCTAACATGACAATGCTCATAACCAGAGCAAATGGGAACCCTTATGCATCAGCCTCTGATGCTTGCGCGTCGAAGAATTACCGCAAAGCAAAGATCACTTTACATGATCTGATCCTGGGTCAAACCACCAGTGTTCTCAGTACCCTCCATGGCATCGCCGCCGTTGCCCATGTTGGTGTACTTGACGTAGGCGAGACCCAATGGTCTGCCACCGTACTGGTATCCAGTGAACTTGGCTGCGTATTGTTAGTGACGGAATTCAACGTGCATAAACAGACTTACCGATAGATGTCTCGGCATCTCCAGCCTGAGCGAACTCGACGACACCGGTTCCGCGAGAGCGACCGTTGGGCTCATACTGAATCTCGGCACGCTCGACCTTGCCAATCGTAGTGAAGAGCTCGACAAGGTCCTCGTTGCTAGTCGACCAGGGGAGGTTGCGAACGTAGATGGTGTTGCTGGGCTCTCCGCCTGCAGTAGCATAGTCTGTGAATGGGTTGGGTGCGGCAGGAGCAGCGTTGGGGTCGAAAGCAGGGCCACCAGGGGGACCGCCGAAGCCACCTCCACCAGCGTAGCCTCCACGACCTCCAAAGCCACCACCAAATCCACCACGGGCACCGAAGCCTCCACGGCCGCCAAAGCCACCGCCAAAGCCACCGCGTGCGCCGAATCCACCGCGACCACCAAAGCCACCAGGGGCGCCAGCGAAGCGGTCTTCACGGACCTCTAGGTTGCGACCCTGCCAATCGTAGCCGTTGAACTGGGTAATGGCGTTGCGAGCATCCTCGGGAGTCTCGAAAGCAACAACACCGGAGCCCTTGGGACGGCCATCGGGGGCGATGTGGACGTCAGCGCGGAGGACTTGGCCGTTGTTAGCAGCCTGGCGGAAGAGATCCTTCAGATCCTGCCAGCCGACGTTGTAAGGAAGCTAGAAGTGGGTCAGTATACGCTATCGAGGTAAGCAGAAAGGAAGAAAAGGGTACGAACGTTGGCGACGTAGACCTGTCGTCCTGCACCACCTCCGGCAGCAGGGTTGCCGCCGAAGCCACCTCCAAAGCCGCCGCCGCGAGGCATACCGCCGCCAAAGTCACCGCGTCCGCCGCCGGGGGCGCTGAATCGAGGCTCGGCCTCTCGGTCTTCGCGAACGTATACGAGTCGGCCCATGAGGTTCTGGTTGCTGAGCGATGCAACAGCGTTCTGCGCCTGCTCCCGGGTGGCATATTCCACGATGCCACAGCCCTACACCCAAGCAAAAGCCAGTCAACCTCCATCCTTCTCACGATCAAGACAAGCCATCATCCTTTACCTTTGACATTCCGTTCGGCAGCAGCAAGACGTCTGCGAAGAGGACCTCGCCAGCTATTTCCGCATTAGCCCAGCTCTTGACGCGGCGCAGCGCATGCCGTACCTTGGCGCATGAAGTCCTTCAGGTGGTGCCACTTGACATCGTAGGACAGGTTGCCGACATAGACACGGCGATCTTGTTGCGAAGAATCCCTAATACTCTGCATCATTTCGCCCTTGTTCTCGACAGGTCGCGATGAAGCTCCTCGGCCAGCACCGTACGATTGGTAGCCTCCTGCACCTTGCGCACCGCTTTGGGGGGAGCGCGAGCGGCGTTCAGTGCGGCGGTAGTCCTCGCGACTGCGTGAGCGGCTACGGGGCGAGTAGGAGCGTCTGGAGCGTCGCGGTGAGCGAGATCGTCGACGGGGGGAGCGGTCGCGCTGGTCATAGTTGTCAGTTTCGTACGACATGATTGCACAATGCACGCAATATGTCGAGGCGATGAAGAGGTTCTGGGAGGTTCGGCGATGGCGAGCAGGTGCGGGCTCGCGTGGGTGATGGGGTTGAGGAGAGGTTGCGCGAGCGGGTGAGGGCAAGCAGCTCGGAGCTTGGGCAACGACAATCCGCCCGGGCGGCAGTTGCCGGCAGCGGCAGTCACGTGACAGGCCACCACCCAGGCGTAAGCAATGAGCGAGGAAATGAAGGTGCTGGCTGCCTTGGAGGGGCTCATGGGTAGCTAACACCGGCCCCCTCACCATCGCTCACGCTTACAGAGGCCCATCCAGCACTGCAACAGCCTCGCCGTTCACCTGACCTGCGCCGGGAGGCGGAAACAGAAAGAAGAAACATGAGTACTTACTCGGTCGCTTGGACGATAGTTATCTCCTGCAGAGTCTGGTAGGGAGAGGTCAGCAGGCAACGTGTCGGGTCGTGAGAGAAAGCAGAACCGTGATGGCGCGGAGGATGGCAAAAGCTTTGGAAGGCCGGGGAGGGGAAGTTACGGCTGCGTATATAAGAGGGGCTCACTTACCCATCCTGTGTATTAGAAGTAGCTACCGGTGACACTTGCTAAAAGGCCGGCTTCCCTGCCAGCTGGAGGGCCAAGTGGTGCAGATATCACGCTGCAGAGAAATTGCCCTTCTTCCGTCCACGCCTCAATGATGACGCTGTATGGGTCCTCGACAGTGCAAGCCTCCCCACGGCACAGCACCCACGCAGCCAATCGCGTTGCAGAGGCGCCCACCGAAGGCCAGAGGGACGTCCCGGCCGGCTGGGTTGGTCGACGGAGGTTGAGGTTGCAAGACCGATCGGGAGCGCGTCGGTAAGCCTGGGATATAGCTGAACCTGTCGTGAACTGCCAGCTGTGGTCGATGTCACGCTATCCCACCTGATGAGTCTGGCTTTTTTCGGTTTCGTGGGCAGGGAAAAGCGCGGCAGATGTCATGCAAGCAAACACCTTGATGGGTGGATTGATTGTGATGGAGGGCTGTGTGTGGGTCTGTGGAGTCGTTCGGTCGCTGGTCGTGCCTTCCCCCACCATCTCGGAGGCCGTGCGTTCCTGCGGGAGCGGGTTCCTTAGCCGCGGCTTCTGTCTTCCATTCCACTATTTACTCCGCGTGGCTTCGCTGTTCAAACGCTCCGGAAATCCACATCACCTCCTCGATTCAATCGCAAGCCGATCACAGATAGCCGGTGGTACGGCTGCCAGTAAGCACAATTAGGCCACCACAGGCCTGGACCCCTAGCCGTGTGCACTGTTACATCGTCAGATCTCATCATCGATTTGGCCCAAATCGTAACACCAACATGCACTCCCTACCCGTCCTTGTATGACCGGTTCTCCCGGTCTGTACATCAGCTCTGGTTGCACAGTGCGGGTCTGGACTTTGATCAATTGCACCCCGGTTTCCGTTGAGGGATATACGTGTACTTCGAGAGACACGTAAGCTGGCTGGTCAATTGACGTGCAAAAGGCCTGCTTGCTGCCACTTTGAAAATAACATGTTTGTCAGCTTGCATTGTCTGCTTCTCAGATCGAGCAATCAATCGCCTTCAGACAATCTACTTGCTCGTCGTGGATAGGTGCGAAGGCCTTTCCCTCCACCTCTCCGCGGAACAACAGAAGCTGGCCAAGCTCTTTAACCTATTCCACGTTTGGATGTGCATGCTTAGGGTACGCTCACAGCTCTGGCACGGATTAAATGGGGAAGTTTCCACAAACGCATAGAACATGCTACAATGCGACTCGGTAATAGGGCCAATGGGTAGGCGACGTCATCAGGACAAAAGCCGAGGTTCCCCACAGATTGACATCTCGATGCATCTCAAGTTCGTCCATTCATCAAGTTGCATGTTTACTCTGCATCCTTACGTATCCAATATAACAGCAGCCCCAAGAATACATTGCTTGGAGGTCTCGTGACCACAGCATTTCTGCTATCGAAGTCAATATGCCTACCAAATCACCATTTCCCGATGTGGAGATCCCGGCCGTTGACCTCTGGGGTCTAATGTTCGACCGCAAAGACCGCGACTTCCCCGACGATAAAGTCATATATCGCGCCATCAACTCCGACCGAAAGTACACATTCGCCGATGTAAAAAGCAACGCGACATTATTCGGCGAAGGACTCCGGAATCTCTGGGACTGGCAAAAGAACGACGTACTCGCTCTTTATGCGCCAAACGAGATTGACGTACCGCCAGTCATCTATGGAACCTTCTTTGCTGGTGGCATTGTCACGCCTGCGAATCCAGGGTATTCAAAGGATGAGCTAGCTTATCAGCTTGAGAACTCGGGGGCTAAGGCGCTTGTTACGACGAAGGCTTTTCTGGACACCGCGTTGAAGGCTGCGGAGAAGGTTGGAATCGCAAGTGATAGGGTGATCTTACTGGGTGCCGAGAAAGACGAGACACATCGATGCAAACACTGGACTAGCATCAGGAAGACATCAGGCGCATTACGGTATCGCAGGAGACGAGCGGATCCTGAAGACCTGTCCTTCCTGGCGTATAGTTCAGGAACCACAGGATTACCGAAAGGCGTGATGCTGAGCCATCGCAACATCGTCGCCGACCTACTTCTTTGCCAGGGGGCAGTGGGAAACTGGTACTCATCCGCAAACGACAAGTTCCTGGGAGTTTTGCCATTCTTCCACATTTACGGACTTACTGGTCTGGTACATCAGACACTACATCGCGGTATCGAGCTCGTGGTGATGCCGGCTTTCGATATGGAGACGTTTCTGCGGACCATACAGGAACGCAGGATTACCTTCATATACGTTGCACCTCCAGTCATCGTGCGCTTGTCAAGAGATAAGATGGTGGATAAGTATGACCTGTCGTCAGTCAAGATGATCACCAGTGGCGCGGCTCCTCTCACCAAAGAGCTAGTCGATACTGTGCACAAAAGACTGAACCTCAAGATCAACCAAGCGTACGGGCTAAGCGAAACAAGTCCCATGACACACACTCAGGTACGTTCCCTTCTCCACAATACTGAGCGGGATATGCTAACACCCCCCAGCCATGGAACGAATGGTACACATCCGTCGGCAGCGTCGGAAAAATGTTCCCCAACATGACCGCAAAATACATATCCGCCTCGGGCGCCGAACTCGGACCAGGCGAAGCAGGCGAGCTCTGGCTCAGCGGCCCCAACATCTTCAAAGGATACTGGAAGAACGAGTCCGCAACCGCCGACGCCATAACGCCCGATGGCTTCTTCAAAACAGGCGACATCGGCTTCCAAGACGAACAACACAACTTCTACATCACCGACCGCGTCAAGGAATTGATCAAATACAAGGGTTTCCAGGTCCCGCCTGCGGAGTTAGAGGGGAAGCTGATGGAGAGCGAACTCATTGATGATGCGGCGGTTATTGGGGTGAATGATGAGGAGCAGCATACTGAGGTGCCGAGGGCGTATATCGTTGCTTCGAAGGCTGATGCGGGGGAGGCAGAAGCGAAAGCTATAGTGCAGTGGATGGATAAGAAGGTTGCGAATCATAAGAGGTTGAGAGGGGGCGTGGTGTTTATTGATGAGGTGCCGAAGAGTGCGAGTGGGAAGATATTGAGGCGAGTGCTCAAGGAGAGGAGTAAGGATGATGTGCCCTTGGGTGTGGTAGTCAAGGCTAGACTATGAGCAAAGAGGATCCCATTGTTTTATCGGCCTGTATACTGTACATGCCGCACCGGCTGTATGCCTTGAAGAAGCAAAGCTGTGATGTCAAATCCGTGATGCTAATGAGAGGAGAGAGCATGAATCGTTTAGTGGGGTATGGCAATGACTCGAATATGTGCTCATCACAAGTAACAGGAAACATCTTGGTGCTTCATACCAGTATCTCTCGATTTGCACACATGTGATCGTATCAAGGCATGCTATTCCAGCGCCAGTAGATGCTCACTAGATATACGTTTTCCCTGACATACAAACACCCAAACCGGAGCAACGGCCTCGAGACCATCTGTCTAGAACAAGTCGAGCAAATCCTGGTTGCTCTTCTTGCTCTGCTCGCCGCCTAGTTGCTGTGCCGGTGGTGGCGGTTGGTTGGTATCCATGCTCATGCTCGCAAATCCATTCATGATATCGTCGTTGCTCATCTGCGCGGCCTGTGCTGGGGGTGCGGCGCCGCCTCCGTCCCCGAACAAGCCTAGCAAGTCGTCCATGTTCGATTGTTGTGGAGCAGGCGCGTTTGTGGCTGGAGATGCGACGCGTTGCGGGGTGCCAGCGAGTCCTTCGAGACCTGATGAGCCATGTGTGGGTGTTTTCTGCATTGAAGCAGGCGCGGAGCCGTCGAAATCGATATCCAAAAGGTTCTCCACGTTTGAAGGCGCTTGTCCGCTGACGGCAGCAGCTGCTGCTGCTGCCGCAATTGGGTTTTCTCTTGCTTCTTCCTGTTGCTCTTCAATGGCAGCCCGTTGCATAGCCTCTGCACCAAATCTGCCCTGTCCAAGGAAGGCCTCTGGTGGCTTGTGGTAGACTGAAGCCAGAGTTGATAGTTCTGTGAGTAGCGTCTCCAGTAGTTGAGGAGGCAGTGACCGTATTGTGGATGTGATCGGGGGTTTGTCGGAGAGCACAATATCCTATTCAAAGTTAATGTCATGTTGCGCAGCGTAGTAGACTAACGTACCTTGGTGATCTGGGGATCACTAGAAAGTAGTCGCCAATACACGTATGCTCGATCGCGGATATCTGGGTTGTCGTTGTCTGCGGTAGCGGCCTGCAAAACCTTTGTTACCAAGCCTTGTGCTTGATCTGGCTTCTTCAGGAAAAGCTTGACGACGGCTGTGAGTATTTGAAGTTGTGTCTGATGACTGTTAGCTTCCGTAGGTACATCTTGAGGGCAGACATACTTGAGTGAACTCCTCGGCAAATGTGTCCACGAAATTCGACAGGATCTCGCCGGCGTTGTTGATCTTCTCAGCGTACTCTCCAACAATCCAGATCAAAGAGGCTCTCGCG